TATACCTGTGTTCCTTACAGTTTTCAAATCTGCAAATTTCTCTTTCGGGATCATCGTCAGCTGTTTCATTTCGTGCTTCGTTCGATCGTGATTTTAGGTTTTGGAATCGGGCCAGATTTGGATTTTGATGGTGCTGGCAGATCTGGGTGCAGCTATATTTTGACAAACATCTCTGCACAAGACCGGAAGAATCTTCTTGCTAAGTCATTGTGAAACTGATAATTACGCAACATGTAATCCCGCTATTTTAGTTTTTTTTTACAGTTCAGACCATTTTTGAAAGGCTTCCAGGTAAATATTGAACATGAATTGTCCAACGTTTTCTAAGCGATTTCGGCTCTTATAAACCATTATAAAAGAGTTTTATTTTATTTTTCTTTGATAGTCCATTAGTTATTCATTGTATTTTTTTGTTATTTGACGAACCAAAGAAAAATGAAAAAATCTTAAGCAAAGAAATTTCGTTAGTCTTCATCGAAACCTGCATAAATGAAACCAAATATATCGTTATGAGTGCGATGGCATCAAGAAATGGTAAATTATGGTCCGATTCTGTTTCGTAATGAAATCGACAGTGTGTTCTACCTTGTTTAATTTATCGAGAACATCTGATAGTGATGTATCGTGGAGGTATATGAATAGGGTATCGCCAATATATGGGAAATATGCTACAACCTTTTATGGTAGAATACGATGAAAGAGACAAGTCGATGACAGTGTCGATGCGCTCGCTGTTTAGCAGTGAACTGACGTGACTCTTTCTAGAATTTTGAGCATTTGCTTATAGTTCAGCGGTTTAGTTTAAACTGAAACGTTTGGCCTTCATACATCGAAATCGACGGGAGAGTCCACTATGTATAAACATCTCTCAGTCACACACACACACACACACACACACACAGACGTGAATGATGACCAGGAAACCCTACTATAATACATACACACACACACACACACATATATATATGATATAACAATATATAATTTTGTATAATTTTATATATCAACAAACAGTATTTAGAAAAATAGCATGACAAATTGGAAAAAAAAAGTTTTTGTGGCGTGTTACATCCGTTGCCTCCCCAGGTCAGTAACATCAAGAAATCACCTTCCTGATCGACCATAGTGAAATTCGAACCCGAGTCTCATATTCGGAAAGGGGACCACCACATAGGGAATATATATATATATGTGTATGTGTGTGTATGTGTGTGTGTGGTCAGAAGCCATCATTGGTAGTCCACTGATGGGTAAAAACCATTTGTGTTTCGATTTTTATCCTTTTTTCTTGCTATGTATCCGCACATTTCTAATTCTCTCGTTTAATCAATTCTATGATATCTTGGTCTATTCTCTCTCTCTCCCCCTCTCTCTCTCTACCTCCCTCTCTCTCTCTCTCTTAGAATTATTCATAGAATTGCTTTTTCCATTGATCACTCCGCGTTTTTGAGTTTGTTTTCAAGTGATTTTGTTAATTTCCTTGTTTTCTCCTCATTTCCCTTGTTTTTCGCATATTGTCAAGGTTCTTTTCATTATATCTATTTTAAAATATTTCCCCCATCGATATGCATAGTTTTATTTCATTTCTGTGGTCTTTCCTTAGTGTTGTTTCCTTTCCTAAGTGTATATATTCCTGGACATTCTCCAGTTCTTTATCTTCTACTTCTGTTTTTTTATTTTTACAATTCTATATTTTAAAACCACTATTTCAACTTTCCCTATTTAGATCTTTTAGTATTTCTTATAATTCATTCGCTTATTCTGATATTAGACAACAAATCGTAGATTGTTTAAATAGTCTTCATTTATGTTTAATCTCATCATTTCGAGTTCATTTTCAGGATGATATTTTCAAAGCCTGCTGTAAATAGTTTCGGTGAAAATATAGCCTTTTGTTCCATTCTTTTTCCAATATTTATCCTATTCCTGTCTTTGTGGAGTTAAATTATCGCACTACTGTTATCGTATATATCATCAGAAACTTTTATATAGTTTTCATTAGTGCTTTGTTTTCGTAGTGAGAGTATCAAATGCCTTTCTACGTCAATTAAGGCTTAACAAAGTTGTTTGTTATATTCTTTTTTTTTCTCTATGGATGAATAAGTCTAATCTGCCTGTTCGTGTGATTGGTTTTCATCTTCAGTATTTGTTCGACTTTTTGTAAATACTTTTGAGAATAATTTTTATGTTAGATAATAATGTGAAAAAAAATATAAAAATTACTAATCCTAAACTGATATTAGGAGTCATTTTTCCATATGCACTCAGCAGTTAGTTGTACTAATCTGTTGTGCAATCCTTCTCCCGCTTCTTTTAAAACGTCTGTTAATATGCCATCTTTGACTGGTGCTTTTTTCTGTTTCATATTTTGAGACGCAAACATTAATTCATTTGTTGTTTCATCAGGGACATTACCAGTATATGCTGCATTGATTGAATCTTTATTTTCGAAGAATACAACTTTGGATCTTTTAATATATTGTTCCTATATTTGGTAACTTCTCCATTTCTGTCTTTCAATGCAAGCAGTTGCTGATCTACACTGATATGCCAAATGTCACTTGCGATAGTATGTAAAGTTAATGGTAGGTGGCACCGACGTAACTAGATGTTATGGAAATATCCAAACCTATGTCAGTTGTGCTCTAATATCTAGTGCGTCATGTGAACTGGATACGAAAGAGTCAGACATTCCATTTAGGAAACTGTAGTGATATTTGACGTCTCTCGAAAACCGGATGGAAAGTATTATCTCCCGCCATAGACAGCGTAGTGATCGACCACTGATCCTTAATGATCGTCACCAGGGGGTTTAACTAGAATTATGTGCGGTAACAAACAAACAATATCGGCTCTAGCTTCATCCACATTCAGTGCGGGAGATATCAGAAGAATATTAGCTCAGTTCAGTATTTTGTTTTTTTACTTCCATTGCATATAGGAGAAGAAGATCCACAAGGGTATATCTATTAACAGCACGACACAGAACATATCGCTTCATCTAGGACCGTGAAATCAACTGTACTCTGGTTCGATCACAGTTCCAGTTGTTGGTAGTGTTCACGTGTGTCACAAATTCCATGAGGCCATAAATGCCAGTTGTTAGCAAGGGACTACGCAGGCTGGTGGTAGGTACATAATGTTGTCGGGTGTATTCATCTGGCAGAGGCGGAGTCTGCTGGCCACCTAAGCATGTCATTGACCGGTGACTTCTACGTTACTATTTGCACCTATCCATCGCCTCCGTGTAACCCCACTTAGTGAAGGAATTATCCCAGCAGGATAATTCACTGTGACATCGGTTGCCATATTTCCCAGAATTTGTTTAACGTACGTTCTAGAGACTTTGAATCGCTTATTTATGAGATGTGGGGAAGAAGCATATTTTCACGTAAGCTCATGCAGCTAGAAATATCATAGGATCTATAGACAGATATTGGAACAGCATTGCTCAATATCCCATCAGAGATTCACTCATCATTTGTAGAATCGATGATATATCGAGTTGCTGCAATTTATCGGGCAAAAGTCGGCTTTAAAATGTCAATGTAAGTGGGTTGTGGATCGTATTTGAAGAACTTTACTTTATTTGTACTTCACTTTTCGTTGATTACTTTGCATTTTTAATTTAATGTCAATAGTTTCACTCATATTTTACCTCTTACGCCGGTTCTTGTGTTGGCGTTGAATGTTTCCCATCTCCTTCTTCTTTTATGCGCCGTGTCCATTCAAAGGCGATTATGGCCCTTCACATCTTCCTGCCCCTTGTAAGTCTTAATAATTTTTATCTTTTTATTATTTCTCCCAAACCATGTTCTTCCATCCATTTACTCACGCTCATCAAGTTACGCGCTATTTTCCTCTTTCCCCTTTTTCCTCAATCTGTCCTGTGAGTATCAGACCTTCTGCTTATATGAAGTCCTGCTTTGTGGGGTTGACTAAGGTCTGGGGTTCGGTTACTTTGCACCCTTAGCATCAACCTTTTTCTAAAATCCCATATTCTCAAAATATGTTTACTCGAGTAATTTTCCAAATTTAGAGGTTGTCCAACCCCTTTTTGAGAGTGGTCAGAAGAATCAAGTCGCCCCTTAACTCCAACTCTCTTTACGTCTCATCTCGCACCATCGCTCTATATGGTGGGGGGCTAATTTGTCTCTCTTCTCCCGCTTTCTCAGCATCCAACCTCAGCCTAATCCAAGGGTTGGTATACTGTCTTTGTGAAGAATCTAAACTTGTAGAATGCGTAGGCAAAAAGGGTATTTCCTGTAATTAATCTTTTTTTATCAGCTTGTCTCACGCTGGTTGTTTTAGGTGATTTCTCGATCAACCAGGCCACACAGCCGGTCCCCTGTGGTCGTCCTAGGGCTAGTAATTAATTTTTCCGTATCACTTACATCCAAAAGAATTCAAAATAATATCAGTCATAAAAACTTTGACGATGGTCACAGAAATTAAAATGAACGAACCCGTCCGCAATCTTAGGCGCTAATCTCTATTTTTCTAAGGATATTTTTCTTCTGGGTGGTCGATTCAAACCAGATATTATTCCTGTTTGTCCAGAACAATTTTAGATGTTATATCGGTGATCTTCTGTTTTATTTATTTTATCCATTCATATGTTTTTTGATTTTCCAGGATCGACATTTTCGACAATACATTGTTTCTTTCTTATCGGCGGAAAGGGAGGAAAGACGAATAGTCTTGGTATACTGTCTCCGGGATGCGTGTATTTCGTTGAAATGTACACAACCCTAGAGACAGTTAGCATAAACTCTCATCGACAATCAAGACTCTGAGACATAGTATGTTTTAGGCACAGGTTTATTGACAGTCGACAAAGGTAAAACTGAAAGAAAATAAAAACACGTTTCTTCAGAAATACAGAAATACAAAATGAAGGTGAGTATTTACTAAGACCTTAAGTAGTTGTAGGTACGATAAGCTTACAGAATAGAAGCATTTGAACATAAGAAATACTCATAGAAGAAAAAGAATACAAATTATGCTGAGTAACAGTCAAGTTCCGAGAGGAAAGGTGGAGGTTCCGCACGTGGTGAGAAGGTAAACAAAGTTCGTTTAAGGAAGAAAATGATACTAAAAAATAATGCTTGCATTAAATAATTCCATAATAGGAAGGAAAAAAGGCGATAGTTCTTACCGGAGATGTCCAAGAATGACGAGATATTTAAAGGATGAAAACTATGCCATGCGGCCAAGCTGGGGGCATGCCATGTGGCCGTGCTGGGGACAGCTAAACTAGATAGAGGCTGAGCACCGGGAACCTTCAACCGGTGTAGGGTCAGAAAGAAGCCCCCAAGCAAAGGGGCCGATAAAGGGAGATGGGTGCTAGTAGGTCTGTTGTACACAGAACAGAACACTCCCCGCCTGACGTCTTCGACGTCAAGGAATGTGCTAGTTCTCGTCACAGAGAAGGACAATCCTGGCAACGGGTCTGAGGAGGTGTTTAGTTCGCTCAGTTCGGTTGCCAGGAGGGCGGCACAGAGCTCCAGTCTGGGAACTGAATGTTCGGGTCGTGGGGCAAGTTTCGCTTTCCCCGTGATGAAGCCAATTTGGTTGTTTCCTTTATCGTCGGTGACCTTGAGATAGGCCACTGCAGCGATGGCTTTGGTCGATGCATCGGAAAAGATGTGCAGCTCTTTATGTACTGCTTTTGAGAGTGGTATGTTTGTGAAGGCCCTAGGGATTCGGACCTCGTTTAGCGCTTCCAAGGAGTTTCTCCATGAAGACCAGATTTTGTGCATTTCTTGAGGGAGAGGTGAGTCCCACTCGCTGTTTTCATGAGTTAGCTCTCTCAAGATTAACTTTCCTTGAATGGTGACGGGGGCAGCAAATCCCAAGGGGTCATACAGACTGTTGAGGGTCGATAAAACGCCCCTACGTGTAAAGGGTCTTTGTATCGCAGGTTTCTTATCGAGGCTACGTCTCGGTGAAGAAAGTCGACTCTCTGCCAGTTTCCTGTTATAAGGGAGACGACGTCGGGGAGATCTAAAGGGTAGAGGAGCAACCCAGCTGTTGTCTTTGTCTTTCTCGGCTCCCAGCTCCATGATGTTCAGGAAGGCGATATCTTCAATAGAAGGCGCCGCCCTTTCGTCGTCCTTGGTCCGTTGAAATAGGTGGTCTTCCATCTCGGTAGAGTATGGCCTCTTGCTGATGCTGAAGCTCTCTTTAATTTCGAATCTGTTCGGGCACGGTTCGAAAAGGGTAGGGCGTCCCCCATCAGATATATGTGTATGCAATGTGTTTATTATGGTGGGTGGGTGAAATTTCCCTAAACAGACATTGCCAACTATGACCCATCCGAGGTCCAGTTTCTGTGCATATGGGGCATCATGGGGGCCGTTTATATGTTGGCGCACTTTGTGTACCCTTAGAATGTCACGCCCCAGAAGGAGCATTATAGGAGTTTTAGGCTCCACGGTGGGGATGAGGTGTGCTATTTTTCTCAGATGTGGGTGGTGGAGGGCTGCCTCAGGAGTTGGGATGCCGGACCTGTCGTTGGGTATTTTGTCGCATTCGACGAGACTTGGAAGTGGAAGGCTGTTTTTCCCGTCTAAGGATTCCACCTGGAAGCCTGACGCTCTTCTTCCCATGGTTTGTATAACTCCGGCACAAGTTTTAAGGGAATAGGGAAACTGGGCCCATCATTTTTTTAAATGTGTCAAAAAGTCTGAGCGTACCAAAGACCGGTTGCTTTGTTCATCGATGATGGCGTACATCCTCACTGTTTTGTCTGGTTGGTCTGCAGGGTAAACATTGACGAGGCATATCTTGGAGCACGACTTTTCTGAGAGGTCACCACCGCAAACTTGTGTGCACTGCGAAACCACTCCAGTAGCCATAGGGGGGTTATCCTCCCCGCCGTTCTCTGCAGCGGATCTTATGCTGATGGGCCAAGGTGGTGGTCCTGGATGGAGAGCAGTGTTGTGTTCTTCACTGTTACACTCATTGCATGTAATATTCATTCTGCAGAATTTTGCTATGTGTGCTGTGGAGGAGCAACATTTGAAACAGATGCCATTGTTTCTTATAAAAGTCTCACGCTCTTTCAAGAGTTTCTCTCGAAAGGCGCGGCATTTCAACAGTTTGTGGAATTTTTTGTGTAATGGGCAATATTGGGTGGGGTCGTTGTCATCTTTGTTTTGCCGACGCGTGGTGTTGAAAACTGTGGGGGACACTTCGGTCTTATTCACCGATACCACCCTTTGTTTGCTCTCTTGTGAGGGGAACCTACCCACCAGTGAATTGACCTTGAAACTTGGATCATTTTTTATCCTAGCTTGTTGTGTAATAAAGTTTACAAATACCTTAAAAGGAGGGAACGTAACTTGGTGCCGCTCCTTATATTCGGAACCAACAGACAGCCATCTGTCCTGAAGTGAGGATGGTAGTTTGGTTATAAAGGGGCGGAGCCCTCGAGCAGTGTCCAGGTAGGCGAGGCCAGGAAGGTTTCCATCTTCCCTGGCTGACAAGAGTTCGGTAGCTAAATCGCTGAGTTCCCTAAGTCTAGGAAAATCGTTGTTTGACAGTCTGGGGAAGTCGTCTACTCGTTTGAAGAGAGCATCCTCTATCATTTCAGGAGCCCCGTAACACTCCTCGAGTCGGGCCCATATTCTCATGAGCCCTCTTTCTGGGTGGTTCAGGTGGGCTGACCTTAGCCTCCTTGCATGTTCCCCTGACTCTTTACCAAGCCATTTTACGAGGAGGTCCATTTCCTCGCTGTATGTGAGACCGAGGTGTCTGATGGCACTCTGGAAAAACCGCTTCCATGCTCTGTAGTCTTCAGGTCTATCGTTAAAAGGTGGCAGTCCAGTAGTGATGAGTTCCCGCCGGGTGAAGTACCTCACAAGGTCTGAGGTATATTGAGACTGGGAGGCGTCCCTGGTGTTGGTGGGGTACCGGTCGTTAGGAGGTTCGGTGTCTTCGACACGTGAGTTAGGGGAGTGATAGCTGATAATAGGTGGGGTTGTTTGGGTAGGTCTGTCTGGGCTCCCTGGCCTATGAGGGAGAAGTCGGTCTCCGCGTTCGAACCGACCATACTGGTATCCCCGAACGATTTCTTCGTTAACAGGTGGTTGGAGTCCAGTCATCTCTTGTTTCGGTTGGCTTGCTTGGTCGGCTAAGTATTCTCGGACCCGTGTGCTAGGGTCAGCGGGAGTGCAGTCGAGTTTTGAGTGGCTGCAGCTGGACCGTTCTTTTAGCTCGTCGGCAGCCTCCCTCAGAACTTCTGCTTCAGCTACGGCAGCAGCCGTCTCCTTTTCAATCTGTAGTTTCTCCAACTCCATCCTTATTTTTAGCTCCTTGTCGATGAAAGCTAAACGTGTTTTGGCTGCTTCGGCCCTAGCTTGGGCGATAGCAGCAGCAGCCGCCGTAGACGATCTGCTGGAAGACCGAGAGTAGCGAGAGGCATGAGTCCTTGACCGATTTGACACGTTGTCTGCCATTGTTAAGAAAAAAGGATGATTCGTGGTAGAAGAGAGGCCGAAAGAATAGCTTCGTTATATTGAGGATAGTTTTTTTCAAGCGAACTGTGTGACACTACTGTTGTTGGTGTTGCGTCCGTAGTTCCGACGGTTGGTGTAGACCACGAAATATCCGACCATTAGGGGGGACTCCGTTTTACTATACTGTCTCCGGGATGCGTGTATTTCGTTGAAATGTACACAACCCTAGAGACAGTTAGCATAAACTCTCATCGACAATCAAGACTCTGAGACATAGTATGTTTTAGACACAGGTTTATTGACAGTCGACAAAGGTAAAACTGAAAGAAAATAAAAACACGTTTCTTCAGAAATACAGAAATACAAAATGAAGGTGAGTATTTACTAAGACCTTAAGTAGTTGTAGGTACGATAAGCTTACAGAATAGAAGCATTTGAACATAAGAAATACTCATAGAAGAAAAAGAATACAAATTATGCTGAGTAACAGTCAAGTTCCGAGAGGAAAGGTGGAGGTTCCGCACGTGGTGAGAAGGTAAACAAAGTTCGTTTAAGGAAGAAATGATACTAAAAATAATGCTTGCATTAAATAATTCCATAATAGGAAGGAAAAAGGCGATAGTTCTTACCGAGATGTCCAAGAATGACGAGATATTTAAAGGATGAAAACTATGCCATGCGGCCAAGCTGGGGGCATGCCATGTGGCCGTGCTGGGGGCAGCTAAACTAGATAGAGGCTGAGCACCGGGAACCTTCAACCGGTGTAGGGTCAGAAAGAAGCCCCCAAGCAAAGGGGCCGATAAAGGGAGATGGGTGCTAGTAGGTCTGTTGTACACAGAACAGAACACTTGGTTTTGCTCAATCTTATTGGATTCCGTTAAATTTGGGTTCGATTCTTCTTGGTACTGTTCGGGATTTCATTTTATTATTATGAAACATAATTTTTCAACGCATTTCGTTTTTAATTTTTTTCTCAACTTTTCAGTCCACTTTCCTGCGAATTTCAACAATTATCATCCAGTTAGTAATCTCTTTCCTTTTATTTTTTTTCTTTCTTTCTATATTTTTGCTTGATTAACTCCCTGAGGTCCCTTAACAACACAAAGGAATTTTTTTTAAAAATTTTATCTGAAATTCGGTGATGTTCTCCTGATATTAGGACAGTTTTTCTTTTTAAAACAAATTACCTTTTCTTAATTTTAAAGTCAAATTTGACTCTGCAAGATGCGAGAAGGTTCTAAGAAATTTTCGATCCAACTCATTCGTAAAATCTGACAAAATGATCAAACATCAGAATTACTTTTAGAATACCTTCTTGCTCAGGCCGAGAACTTTTCATGACCCCTTTAGAAATATCGGTATAAAAATTATTATCGTGTTATTTGGTTAAGTTTCTGCTTCATCGGAAGATGTCAGATTACTATTTGCAACATATTGTTTTGCACAGGTTGTGAAGAGGACAATATTTTTGCAATAATCGATGATCATTTTCTGTGCATTTCAAAATCATACATTTTGTTCGAATCGTTGGGCGCCGTAGTTGGTCAAATTTTGTAATTGACGTATTTTTATATAAATCTGTATGTGTGTCTTTAAATATAATTTTCCAAATCTGGGCTAAGTAAACTCACTTACCAAACATCAATCCTGAATGTATAACCTACCGTTAAAAGTAAAAGCGTAATTAGGCGATTGGTTATAAATGTCACCCGGAGAAATTTATATCGATTATCGAAACGTACCTTCAATGACTGAAGAGTGAACAAAGAAAGGAACGGCTACAGTTGGTTCGGAAAGCAGAAAGATTTAGGTCGGTCAATTTAACAATATATCAAACTTTTTGGGTTACTTAGTATCAAATAAAACAGCAGTGGTGGACCAAAAACTTGGAGAGTTGAGTTAAAGGGAAATAACTCCAGAAGAGGCATGGCACGTGGAACTAGAACAATCTATCCCAGTGGACGAAATAAAGGGTTCGGTTCGAAGTTTCAGTCACCTGAAGAAAGCCGGAGCGTACAACGGCCGAAACGTTGTGAATATGGCAATGAAGATCAGGATAACAGTCCGAATAATGTAAATAATGCAAGTAATCGAATAAAAGTCTTATCGTACAGAAATTGTAATGAATTGACAGGTAGACATGCGTCCGGTTTATACTAGAGTAAAAAAAGGTTGACACGGGAGTCGAAGAGGTAGACATGGGTTCGGTTTACACGAGAGTCGAAAAGAGGACCAGAGGTCCGCTTTACACTGGAGTTTTAAAAAAAAGTGGTTAAACTTGGATCTGGTTTAAACTCGAGTCAAAAAGGTATCTATTGGCCTGGTTTATATCATTGTCTACAAGTACCCACTCGGAAGTATCCTCTTTTGGTGGATGGATTTTACTCCTCTGCTGGGTGGAGGTGCAGTCAGTGTATCCTATGCTTCACCAACAGGGCAATGACTAGCAAGAGAAAATATTTGAGTATATCAAACATATTTTTGTTGTTTACAAACTTTTTCATGTCTGCAGCGGAAGACTATGCCCCCGTTACATTATTATTGATCTTGAGAGCATCACACCAACCAAGTGACTTTGGGCTATTAATGGGGTACAGATGTACGAAGACTAATGTGCTCATTCTGATAAGAGTATAACAGGCACATGCAGCACATGCAAATGTGCGCAATATGGTGTCAAGTTTTGATAAGAGCAGCGCATAACCTTGCAGTGGTCGATTACGAAATTTGATCAACTACGGCGCCCAATGAATCAAACAGAATGTATGATAAGAGCAGCGCATAACCTTGCAGTTAAAATAAATTCTGATTGGGCAACAGTGTCTGCTAAGTACGGTCTCCAATTAATATGCTCAAGTATCTAGATGTGACTCCCAAATCATTTTGGCTGTCTTATCATTCAAACTTTAACAGAAAACACAACCATTTTTATTAACAGTTATTTTTTTTTCTAGATAAGGTCCTAATATCTGGTGACTGATGCATGGATGGCAGACCACAATCAGCAGCCTTATATCATGCAATTTTCCACTGATACTATGTGTTCGTGACTTTTCAGATTCGGCTTAAAGCCATATCACGTTCAAACATCGGTTCCAATATGATCACCGAAGTTAAGCAACGTCGAGCCTGGTCAATACCTATTTGGG